AGACCCCACTCCCCACCCACAGCCAGAGATAGAACCCAGGAGTCCTGGCTCCCAGCCCCCCCTGCTCTAACCATTAGACCCCACTCCCCACCCACAGCTAGAGGTAGAACCCAGGCGTCCTGACTCCCAGCCCCCCTCTGCTCTAACCACTAGACCTCACTCACACGTGCAAAGGGCCTGGCAGTTGCCCAGGCTCTGAGTTTTCCCAGCAGAGTGTCAGGGGTGGGGCAGGGCGAAGCAGCCCCCTGGCCCCATGCTGTGGCATGCAGGAGCCTCTGTAGCCGGGCTCCCCCTGTACCTGTCAGCAGGGCACTGTGGGTGCCAGCCGGCCTGCGCACCCAGTCCAGGGATGCCGCCTTTGAGCTGCTGCACTCCTCGGCCCACTCCACCAGATACTCCATGGGCTCCCCTTCCAGAGGGTCCTTGCTGGGCTCCCAGGTAACGAGGAGATCCTGCCCGTGCACGGCCGCAGCCCGGACCCCCGCCGGGGCAAGCAGATCTGGGGGAAGCCACAGGATCCATCACTGGGCGTTCTCTGGGTCCCCCCTGCGCCAGGTTAGGGATGCTGCAGGAATGGGACTCGGGGCCTTTCCCCTCTAGGGGGCGCCGGCCCTGATTCAGCCCAGGGTGGGGGCACTGGCTGGCTGCGGGGGGGCAGGGAATGGGGCACAGGGCCTTTCCCCTCTAGGGGGCGCTGGCTCCCAGGGGACAGTCTGGCTCAGTGGGCAGGGAACGGGCCCCCACGCGGTCGTACCCTGCCGCTCCAAGCTGAGGTTGGCAGGCTGCGTCCGCCCGACGTGGTTGTTTGCCGAGATCCAGACGTGGGTGGTTCTGGAGGGGAGGCTCACGTTGCAGCAGCCGGCCTCCAGGCTCACGGAGCTGTTGCCGCCGTTCCGGAAGGCCAGGCTGTAGCTCCGAATGACTCCCCTGGCTGCTTCAGAATTGAGCGGCTGGTCGGGAATCCAGCAAAGGGTTAATGCAAATGGATGAGTATCCCACCCCCGCCCTCCAGATGGGGTCGCCCCTTGTGCTTGCCATCGCTAGGCCCCCGGTGCCTGGGAATAACCTGGGCCACCCCTGCAATGCAGCCACCTCTGGGGTGGAACGTGGCCACTGCTTAGCAGCTGCATGGACACACGGCTCATCGGTTTAGGACAGGAAGTGGAGGCTACGGGCGTGTCCAGGAGGGAAAGCCAATCAGAATTTGGCCAGGGCACCGGGGGGCACGCGCCTAGTCATGTGACAGCGGAGTTTATCCAATCGGCTGGGACCTCCGGCACCAATGGGAAGATTCTGCTGTACTCCAGCCCTTTGTTTCCGCAGTGACGGGCCCGCGCAGGTCTCACCTTCCACAGCAGCAGCAGGCTGGGCTCTCCGAACTCAGGGGGGCTGGCCACTCGCCACACGTCCACCAGGCCCAGCGGGGCTAAGGGCAACAGAGAGGGGCCGGGGCATCCGAGAAGAAACTGGGGTCACTCCAGGGCAGGGAGAGTGTACAGGGCCCGACAGGAGCTCTCTGGAGCCAGGAAAGCACCGGGCCCCTTTCCCAAGAGGGGTGTTCCCCTGACTGCCCGGGGCAGGACAGGCCTCTGCATTTAGCATTGCTGGGAGACCTTTTCCAGGGCTGGGAACAGAACCCCGGAGTCCTGACTTCCAGCCCCCTGCTCCAGCCACTAGATCCCCCACCCCACCCCATCCCAGAGCTGGGATAGAACCCAGGAGTCCTGACTGTTGCTGACTGACTACACCACGTGTGACCCTCCCGCGCAGGGCAGGCGTTTTGCTCCGGTTGGCTCAGGCCCATGCGTACCAGCCTCGGGGGTCTGGAAGGTCTGGGACGGGCTCCAGTCGCTCCAGAAGCCCTTCCGGTCCCCAGGGATGCAGCGAGCCTGCACCTCATAGGCCGTGAAAGGCTCCAGGCTGGAGAACTCGTAGATGTTGGGCTCAACATCCTCCTCATGAACCTGCCAGGGAGAACGGCACAGAGAGAGAGATGGGGCCCCAGGGCTCTGGGGCCCCATCTCGCAGGGGAGAGGGCTGGGAGGGGAGTGGGGTCCAGTGGTCAGAGCAGGGGCTGGGAGTCAGGACTCCTGGGTTCTGTCCCCAGCTCTGGAAGGGGAGCAGGGTCTAATGCTCCACGGGTAGACCCCTGAACTGACACGGTGACCTTTGGCCTGTACGCCGGCTCCACCCTAGCCAGCGAGACTCCGATGCAGCAGGAATTCGGCAGCGGCCAGGGCATCCCAATTTAAGGGGTAGATGGGCCGGAGCGTAACTAGGAATCAGCACCTGTCGTTCTACAGCTGCCCCCAGTCAGCAGAAGGTGTAACAGGCCCTGCTATGTTATGGGCAGGATTTGAACCCAGGACTCTGTAGCACCAGAATGCAGCCCTCCATTACTTGAGCTGAAGGAGGAGCTCTGTTATCTAGCAGCAGTAGTAGGCTGCTATCCCAGAGGAAGCCCTGTCTCTCAACACCCCCCCACCTCCGCACATTTTGCAATCCTGCCATGCAGACTCACCCTGGTCCAGTTGGGGGTCCCAGACACCCGGTAGCGAAGGTGGCAGGCCAGATCCAGGGAGAAATGCTGGGGCCATTGGGGGTTTGTCCAGGTCACGGTGACCACAGGGGTCACGTCCACTAGGCTCAGTACAGGGGGATCCGGCTTCACTGGAACCAACACAGTGGATAAAGGGAAAGTAGGACCCAAAAGTCCTGGCTCCCAGGTCTAACCACTGGGACACACTCTCCTCCCACAATTGGGATAGAACCCAGCCCCCACCTGCTCTAACCACTAGACCCCCCCCTCCCTACAACTGGGAATAGAACCCAGGAGTCCTGGCTCCCAACCTCACCCACACCCAATCTAACCACTGCACCCAGCCTGGCTGTGAAACAGCTGCTCCAGGTCTAGAGGATTTTAAATGAAAAACATCTAGAAGAAATCAACACAAATTCCCAGTGGGGCCCAACAGCCTCCCCCCCATCTCCCAATCCCCCCCTTCGCTCCTAGGGGCAGGGGAGGAGCTGGGCTGCTTCTGGGTTACCTATCTCGTGCGGGGTCAGAGTTAGCCTTGGTGTGATCTGGGTCCCGTCACCAGCCTCCACCCACACGGCATAGTTCTCATTGTGCGTCAGGCTGCTTCTTCCAATCACCACCCAGCTCTGTCCGACGGGGGCCTGGGAACTCCGCGTCTGGTTGCGTTTGCTGGCAGACGAACCCAGGGAATAAACGGATGAGTCGGCACATCCGACAGGAAGACAGCCCAGGAGTCCTGGCTCCCAGACCTCCCACTGCTCTAACCTCGAGGCCTCCCACCCCTCCCAGGGCCGGGAATAGAACCCAGGAGTCCTGGCTCCTAGCTCATGCTCTAGCCACTGCACCCCACTCCCCTCCCAGAGCTGGGGGTTAAAGCTGAGGAGATGTTCGGGGCACTTGAGGCTGGCTGAGCAGTGGGTGGGGTCCTGGGCTCCCTCCCCCCCGGGCAGGGGTTATACTCACAACTTCAGGCTCTGGTAGTGGAGGGTGTAAGTGGTGTTAGCCTCAGGGCCGGTCCTGCTGGGCCACGTGCAATTCATGCCCCTGCTGGGGCCCATCTGGTAACACATCAGCCCCGTGGGTTCCTCTGGGTCACCTGCACCCAAGCACACGTCAACCTGCAGCTGTCTGGGGAGGCCGGGGGCTTGGACGCTTCCATCCAGCCTGAGCGGGACTGGCCACAGGGGTCCTGGGCCTAACTGTTGGGTCATATCCAACAACCTGCCTCCTAGACCCTTCTCCTCCCCTGCCCAGAGCCGGGAACGGAACCCAGG